AAAAAAAAAAAAAAAACAAATTTTCACTTTTGTTGAATCGACGACATTGAATTATGGTTGATCATCATCATCATCAACACATCATCCACACATCCAAAATATCCGATGTTGATGAGCGGTGTTATTTTTTTTACGATTTTTTTCTTATCAACAACAACAACAACAAAAAAACATTCGAAATCGTCACAAGTGCTGCCATCTTTCGAATAGTGTTGAAAAGTTTTGAAAATTTAAAAATTTTACCGCCAAAAAATTGTCAATTTTTTCAATTTTTCTGCGATTTTTTTGACGTTTGGCGAAAATTTTCAAAATTTCCAACTCGAAAAAAAACAAAGATGAAAAAAAACGTTCCAAATATGAATCAATGTTTGCTTTTTGTTTGTTTTCATATTTTGGGATTTTCTGATGAGAAAATTTTCAGAAAAAACAAAACAAAACAAACATGATTTATGAAATTTGTCATTTCTTTTTCTTTTTTTTTCTCAATTAAATCGGTTCAATGATCATCATCAGCAACAACAGCATTATCTTATCTTAACTAAACCATTACCATCAATCAAAACCCAAAACCATTAAATCCGTTATCGATCAATCAATCAAGATCAAGATTTTTTTGTTTAAAAGGTGCGAAAATAATTTTGAAAAAACCAGGTCGATAAACACACATTATCATTAACGAATGAATGAAAATCAATTAAAAAACTAATTTCTTTTAAAATTTTAAAATTTAAAAAAAAACTTTGCCAAAATCAAGATTAATCTTCAATTTTTTCAGATAATAATCATTATTTTTATGAATGGCTCACTACCACTCCCACACTCCCACTATTACCACTCCCATTCCTCACATTTTCGAACGTTTTGAAAAAAAAATTCATTCGACCATTTCGAACACAGAACACCGAGTTTGAATCTTGCCGTTAAATCTTTTCTTCGGCAACGACCAAAAATTATCTTCGAAGACGAAGATTCAATTCAATTTAAAATTGTTATTGTCGTAATCATTCGAATGAATCCGTGTGAA